CCCCAACCCCCCGCCCTCAGCCCCATGTTGGGAATCCCGGCACCCGGTGAGGTGGGTTCACCACCCAGCCACGCCTTTCCCAGGCGGGGGCACCTGTTCCCTGCCGAGACCCCGAGGGACCTGCCTGTGACCTGTTTCCTTTTCGGAGGCCTCATCCCGGCCTTCCTGCTCAAGGAAGCGGACGTGGAGGCCAGTGTCCAGATGGCAGAGGACAGCCTCTCCTGGAAGGGGACGCTCCGTGGGCTCGGAGAATCCCGTTCACTCGGCGCAGGCCCTAGGGCCAGTCCAGGGCTCCGGGCAGCCCCTCCACCCGGGCATCGGGGGCACTCACCAAGATCAGGCATTGAACCAGGATCCCCCTCTGGGGGACGCAGCGGCGGTGGCTGACCTCGGTCGGAGCGAGGCAACACCTGCTCTGGCACTCGTCGTCGTTGGTGCAGTGGCTCCCGTTGGGCTGGGGACACAGAGCCGGAGCCTGGCGCCCGCCTCCCGCCCTGGCCCCGGCCCTCCCTGCCGCGGCCCGGCCGCCGGCTCACCTTGCGCCAAGGCTGACACTGCAGGAAGATGGTCATGGGTCTGCAGGTCAGCTCGGAGCCGGAGATGCCGAGCACACAGCAGCGGCTCCGGCATTCGGAGTGCTTGGAGCAGGCGTGGCCGTTCGGCTGCCCGCCGCCGGAGGGGAGACCCCGTTCTCTCCGCCGGCCCCCTGCCCCCTCGGCGGCCAGCTCTGGGCGGCGGGACCCTCCTCCTCCTGGTGCCGGCCAGCCCGCTCGGGCGCCTTCTGCCGGGCCCGGCCCTGGAGGGAGCCGGTCTGGGTGGTGCAGAGCTTCTGTGACTCCAGGCTGCTGGGGACACAGCAGTGGCTCGGGCCCTCCAGGCGATCCTCACGGGCCTCGCATCCCCTGCAGACCCAGCGCCCAGTAGGGCTTCTTGATTTAGGAACACCCTCCCCTTCTTTCTGCTTCCCTTCCAAGTTCCCGACCGTCCCAGACCTGGTGGGGCTGATGGCAGGGGGAGCCAGCGGAAAGGGAGGGGAAGAGAACTAACGTGGTCCGTGTGTGGTGAGCCACGCGGACGGGAGGTAAACCAAGGCACAGAGGACGAGAGGAGGAGCAGCGGAGCCGGGAGGGGAAGAGCTGCCACGGACTCTCACAGCTTCTACGGGCCCAGGAGGGCGGGGCGGGGTCCCGTGCGGGCAGGAGCCGTGGCTGGCCCTCACCCAGGTCCTGGCCCGGCCGCTGGAGGCCCCCGGCTCCTGAGGCCTTTGATGGAAGTTCTCAAGCTTCGGGTCGCAACACCCCTTTGCAAACTCAGCAAACTACTGAGGCCCCAGAGCTGTTGTTGGTGTGGGTCCCTCGTAACGACTTTCCCCGTGGCGGGTACTCAGAGTTTTACGTACTTGTGTGTAAACTTAGTTAAAAATAGGAACTCCAGCCCGTGTTCACTTACAGAACAGCTTCTTATGAAACACAAGTCTATTTTCCAAAGCAAAGCAGAACGTGCTGAACACGGAGTGGCCCCACCGGGCACCTGGCACAGCGCTACCTGCCTGGCTCCCCGGCCTGTGACCGTCATCGTCGGGGACCCTGCGGCCTGGGGGAGCCAGCGTCAGCTGTCCTGGGGGCCCAAACGCCCGGGGGCCTTCTTTTCCAGGGAGCCCAGACAGGATTCGTGGGGGCAGGCACCTGCGGAGAGGAGCCGGGAACCCCCGGGAGCCCGAGTGGGGGCCACCTCCGCTGGGGGGGGGGGTGCTTACCTTATGCAAATGGAACACGGTCTTGGGCCTCCAGGCCAAGGACACAGGCAGCAGGTAGAGCAGCAGCAGCAGACGCCTGGCGCACGCCATGGGGCTCCGGGCCTGTCAATGCCCCAGATGGCTCTCCCTGTCCGCCCCCCCGGCACCTGCGTGGGCACCCGCTTCCTTCCCCCCTTCCCGGTCTTTCTCTCGCAAAACAGGTTTTTTACAGTAACATTTTCTGGAGCAGTTTTAGGACTACAGAAATTGCGCAGAAAGTACAAAGGGTTCCCATACAGCCCCCTTCCCCCTGTTTCCCTAGTATTCCATCAGCGGATCATCGGCTCCAGTTGGTCAGGTGATACAGATACATTATTACGAGTTCCCGGGTTCACTGCCGGTGCAGGACGTTCTGCCGGTTGGACGAAGGCCACCACATTAACACACAGTATTTTCACTGCCCTAAACCCTCTGTGCTCTGCCTGCTCAGCCTTGCCCATGAAACCCCGGCAACCATGGATCTTTTGGGGGTTCTTTTTTGGTCTCGTAGTTGTGCCTTGTGCCTTTTCCCCAGTATCCTAGAGCTGGAACCGTACAAGATGCAGCCTTTGCAGACTGGCTTCCTTCACTCACTTGATAGCAAATCCCTGTTTATCGCTGAGTGGAGAATGAATTTTCAACACCCCTTTCTCCTGGGAAGGATCGTGCCCTCTCTGAGTTGAACAGGAACCTCTCTGCTTGGCATCAGAGAGCACCCACGGGCTGTGCAACCCTCCTGTGAGTCCAGCTCCTATGCCTTCCCGCCGGGGGGGCCCCCCCCCGGCTGAGGCAGGCAGGTTGAGCCATGAGCCCACGCCCTGCAGTTGGGGGAGCAGGCTCGGCAGCCCCCAGGCACGGGTGAGTCTCCCACCCCGGATGGGGGAAGATGGCCAGGAGTCCCAAGTCAGCCTCAGATCCAAGCCTCAGCCGCCCTGCCCACGCGCAGGGTATTTGGCCGATTGTCTGGTTATTCATAAAGCTGATGGTTTGGCCTCCAACTTTGCCCCTAGTTCTTTTATCTTTTTTTTTTTCTCAATATTTATTTATTTTGAGAGGTGGGGGAAGCGGCAAAGAGGGAGAGAGACAGAGAATCCCAAACAGCTTCTGCATCATCAGCACAGAGCCTGATGCAGGGCTTGAATCCACGAACCGCAAGATCATAACCTGAGCCGAAATCAAGGGGCATAACT